TTTTGGCCACTTCCAGTCTGGTTTCCAGCCATTTCCAGCCTGGTCTTAGCTGGTCAGGCTGGGAGATGACCAGCTAAAACCAGCTTGACCAGCCTAGCCAAACTGGGAGTCCAGCCAAAACCAGCTATATCCAGCTTAAACTAGGCTGGTCAAGCTGGTTTTAGCTGGATTTGGCTGGTAATTTTTCAGCCTGACCAGCTAAGACCATGCTGGAAATGGCTGGAAACCAGCCTGGAAATGGCCAAAACCCCTCTAATACCAGGCTGGTCAACCAGCTAAAACCAGCCAACCAGCCTAGACTGGTTTAAGCTGGATTTTTCAGCAGGGACACTAACACTAACCCCAAACCTAACAGTCTACTTACAATCTAATGAGAATTAGTTGGCATGTAGATGCAATGTAACTTAAATTTCACAAACTGACCATCAAAATAAAGTGTGACCGTTAAGGCTTAGCTATGCGCTAAGAAATGTTAGCTACTTACTAATTCAGTCTAGAATAAAAACAAAGCAAATCCAAAGTGGTGAACAGGCTAAAGACATGTTCATGCTAAAACCAGGCAAACAGCATGTTAACTTGCAAATATTAGCAATAGTGAAGGATTAGCTATGTGCTAAGACATGTTAGCAACTTGTTAACTACTATAAAATAAAAACTAAATAAATTCAATGTGGTAAAAATGCTAAAGACCTGTTCATGCATTCAAATCAGGAAAAAGCAGCATGTTAAAACTTTAACAACATTAGCAATAGTGAAGTGTTAGCCGTGTGCTACAAAATGTTAACATCTTACTAAAACAAAGCAAACTCAATGTGGTGAACATGCTAAAGACATGTTCGTGCTAAAACCAGGCAAGCAGCATGTAAAACCTTAAAAATATTAGCAAGAGTGAAGGGTAAACCATATGCTAATAAGTGTTTGCAACTTACTAATTCACTCTAGAACAAAAAACAGACCGAAGTTAAAGTGGCGAACATGCTAAACAGTATGTTCATGCTAAAATCAGTCAAGCAGCATGTTAAAACTTTAAAAATATTAGCAATAGTAAAGGGTTAGCTATGTGCTATAAAATATTAGCAACTTGCTAATTCACACTAGAATAAAAACAATGCATATGCAAAGTGGTGAACATGCTAAAGACATGTTCATGCTAAAATCAGGCAAGCAGCATGTTAAAACTTTACAAATATTAGCAATAGTGAAGGTTTAGCCATGTGCTAATAAGTGTTAGCAATTTACTAATTCACTTTAGAATAAAAACAGACTGATTTTAAAGTGATGGACGTGCTAAACAGTATGTTCATGCTAGCATTAGGCAAGCAGCATGTTAAAACTTTAAAAACATTAGCAATAATAAAGGGTTAGCCAAATGTGCTAAGAAATGTTAGTAATTTGCTAAACTACTCTAAAACAGAAACAAAACTAATTCAAAATGCTAAACGTGCTAAAAACATTCGTGCTAAAAACAGGCAAGCAGCATGTTAAACTTCACAAACGTTAGCAACATGCTAATTCAGTCTAAAACAAAAGCAAAGCAAATCCAAAGCGGTGAACATGCTAAAGACATGTTTATTCTAAAATCAGGCAAGTAGCTTGTTAAAACTGTAAAACATTAGCAATAGTGCAGGGTTAACCATGTGCTACGAAATATTAGCAACTTGCTAATTCACTTTAGAATAAAACAAAATGGTGAGCGTGTTTTTCTGAGGTACATTATCCATTGTTGTTCTCATAGTGGCTTTGAAAGTCATGCTAAATGATATTCAAGCTGAAACAATTGTAATAGTATGGTTAGATTTCAGCATATTATTTTAACACTATATTATTAATACACAAGCGCAGTTCATCAGATGTGATTGAAATTAAAATTCAATCAGTGATAGTCAGGAAACTTTATATTTGGCTTACAGTGGGCACCCTGTATAATTAAATATGGACAATACATTGCAACTTTTGACTAGCTGTCAATAGAAACCTGTTTCTTTGGTTTGTTTGTTTGGTAACCCTCAGAGCCTGCAGTTCCAGTGTCGACCAGATGAGTCTTTGCAAACTTTTGACACCTTGTTTTCACCCGCTGTGACAGTTTAATGTCATATTTGTGGCATTCCAATCATAACGTACTGGTTTTCCACTTCGTCTTCCGCTCGCAATCACTGTCACTGCTGTTCATCAGTCCGAAACACTGGCCGGAGCAGCGATGATTGGCAATGTCAGGGCAATTTTGGCACTTTCAGACTAGATGAGCATGAAATTGCAGTGGGGAAAGTTAAAGCTGAAGGAAACACCAGCCTTCTGGACCTTTGGTGTCTTAAAATGATCAAGCTCATCCAAAATGCATCGAAAATGAGCCTGAGCAAATGTCGAGGAGGGTCTTTAATGATAATAATCCCACTGCAGCAATTAAACCTGATGGAAAACTGACGTAATGTCTTTTGTTTGGCAGTCAGGGTTGATGAATGAGATTGTAAGTGGCAGCTCTTATTGCAGTGCTTTCCTGGTTTTTGCATATATATGAGTGAAGTACATCATGCTTATCATCACTTATTCTATTTGTATGAAGCACTGATGGGTACATTAAGACCTGATATTTAACCATAGCTCAGTATAGGGACGTTAGCAGGCTAGTTAGCATCAATGCTGTCAAATTTAGTGCGGATTTTAACTACAAACACCAAATGTCCTTCAGGTTTATCTGATTCTGTCTGATGTCTATGTTACTAGGAAAGCCTTGCAGCTAGTGTATGCCATGGTAAGTAAGGCAAATAGGATGTTAAATCTTTAAAAACATTAGCAGTGGTGAAGGGTTAGCCATGTGCTAAAAAATGTTGCCAACTCGCTAATTCACTCTGGAATAAAAACAAAGCCAATTCAAAGTGATGAACAAGATAAAATCATGAAAGCAGCTTGTAAAAAAATTCAAACCATTAGCAGTAAGCAATTGTGCTAAGAAATGGTAGCAACTTGCTAATTTACTGTAGAATAAAAACAATAAATTCAAAGTGGTGAAAAAGCTAAACATGTCCATGCTAAAATCAATGCAAGCAGCATGTTAAAACTTTGAAAACATTAGCAATAGTAAAATGTTAGCCATGTGCTAAGAAATATTAGCAGCTTGCTAATTCACTCTAAAATAAAAACAAAGCAAATCCAAAGTGGCGAACATGCTAACGACATGTTCATGCTAAATTCAGACAAGCAGCATGTTAAAACTTTAAAAACATTAGCAATAGTGAAGGGTTAGCAATGTGCTAAGAAACGTTAGCAACTTTCTAATTCAATTTAAAATGAAAAACAACAAATTAAGAGTGTAAAGCACGCTAAGGACATGTTCATGCTAAATCAGGCAAGCAGCATGTAAAAAATGTAAAACATTAGCAATTGTGCTAATAGTGTTAGCAACTTGCTGATTCACTACAGAACAAAGCAAATTCTGAAAGGTGACCATGCTAAAGACATGTTAATGCTAAAATCAGGCTAGCAGCATGTTAAAACTTTACAAATATAACAATTAGCAATTGTGCAATGAAATACTAACAACTTGTCAATTCAGTCTAGAATAAAAACAAAGCAAATCCAAAGTGGTGAACATGCTAAAGACATGTTCATGCTAAAATCAGGCAAACAGAATGTAACACTTGCAAACTTTAGCAACAGTAAAGGGTTAGCCATGTGCTATGTTAGCAACTTGTCTAGACTAAAAACAAAGCAAATTCAAAATCAATTTACATACTAAAGACATGTTCATGCTAAAGTTAAGCATGTTGAAACTTTAAAATCAATAGCAATTAGCAATTGTGCTAAGAAATGTTAGCAACTTGCCAATTCACTGCAGAACAAAGCAAATTCAGAGTTGTAAACAAGCTAAATACATGTTAATGCTAAAACCACGCAAACAGCATGGTAAAACCTTAAACCCTTTAGCAATTGGCAGTTAGCAATTGTGCAAAGAAACGTTAACAACTTGCTAATTCACTTTAGAATAAAAACAAAGAAAATTTAAAGTGGTGAATATGCTAAAGACATGTTTATGCTAAAGGCAAGCAGCACTTTAACAATTTACTAACATTAGCAACAGTGAAAGGTTGGTCATGTGAGCCATCTGAGAAATATTAGCAACTTGCTAATTTACTTTAGAATAAAAACAAACCAAATCCAAAGTCAGTTTTGAATTTGCTTTGTTTTTGTTCTTTACCGAATTAGCTATTTGCTAACATGCTGAAGTCATGTTGATACCAAAAGCAAGCAAGCAACATGTTAAAACTTTAAAAACATTAGCAACAGATGAGCTAAGAAATCTTAGCAAATTGCTAATTCAATCTACGATAAAAACAAACCAAATACAAAGTGGTAACATGCTAAATACTTGTCAGCAGCATAGTAATTCATGATAAAAATCAACCCAGACTATACAGCAATATGCTAATACATGCTAGCAGTGTGTTAAGCTTGTTATAAAAACAAGCAAACAAAAGTTTAACTGTTAGGAAAATGCCAAAAATATAGAGCCATGATAACATTAATAAATAATATACAGTGTATAATAAAATGTCACATTTGTATTTAAATTAAATTACATTTGTACACACATTTATCTAATACAACAACCAATCTCAAAATAAAATAAGCAATATATTTTAAGCAAGTCTTTGAATGTTGTTCATTAAATATGGAACATACATCAAAGGTATAATAAAAATATGCAAAAAAATATAAAAATGTGATTATAAAAAATGATAAAACATTCAAAAAAAAAGATTTAACATAAAAATATTTACAAAAACAAACAAACAAACAAGAAAAAAATTAATAAATAAACGATGCAAGTATTTGTATGGATTAATAGATGGATGGCAGGAAGAATGTAAATTAACAAAATGATCAAAAATGATTATTCGATGTTAATTACAAGAATAGCATAATAAAATGACGTATACAAGTGTAAACATACGCCTGGTGTTTAGAATTGCCTTAAATGTTCAATCTGTCTTTGTTCTCTGCAGATACAGACTACATCAGCACGGAGGAGGAGCAGAAGGTTGAACAGATGCTAACTTTCCTGACGGAGGAGTCCAAGCAGGCGGCAGCCAGTACAGCGGTGAGTCCAAAAACACAACTAGTGTCTCTTCGCAGTTGTTTACCATGAGCTGAGTGAAACCCTGAAACAGGGAGGCTGTTCACACTGCAGGAACAAACACAAACCCATGTGAAATAAAAAGTTACAAGTTTATTTTAGCATCCATTGTTAGTTTGCGTCGTTCTTTTATCGGTGCTGATTTGGTATATTTTGCTTTCAGTTTTTGTTTTCCTAATTATTTTCAGTCATTTTTTTTCTGTTTGCGTTTGCTTGTTTTTGTCTTAGCTTTTGTTGGTTTGTTTTTTCTTGTTTGTGTGTGTGTGTGTATTTGTATTTTTGGTTGAATGCACTTTGCTCTTATGTTTTTTTTGCCTAAATTTTTCTATGCTCAGCTTTTAAACTGCTTAAATATTAGATTTTTTGTGTTTTTGTTTTATTTCAGTTTGTTAAGTTTTATTTTGTTTTGTTTTGTTTAAATTCATTTTGTTTTGTTTCATTTTGATTCGTTTTGATTTGTTTAGTTTAATTAAGCTTCGATTTGATTCATTTAATTTCGTTTAGCTTAATTTTGTTTTGTTTGGATTCGTTTTAATTTCATTTGTTTCGATTTTTTTTGTGTCATTTCATTTCATTTTGTTTTGTTTTTTATTTGCTTTGAGTCCATTAGTTTTGTTTAATTTTGTTTCTTTGGATTCGTTTCATTTCTATTCATTTCGATTCATTTTGTTTTGTTTAGATTTGTTTCATTTCGTTTAATTTCAATTTATTTTGTTTCATTTTGTTAGTTTAGTTTTTGGTCATTTAATTTAATTCTGATTTGTTTCAGTTGGTTTCATTTCGTTTTGTTTTAATTTGATTTACTTGGTTTTGATTGGTTTCCCTTAGTTTCGTTCATTTCATTTAATTTAGTTTCATTTTGATTTGATTCATTTTGCTTCATTTTGATTTCATTTTAATTCAATTTGATTTGTTTTGTTTTCATTTGTTTGTTTTTTCTTTTTCCCAAATTGACATGAATTGAACTTAAAACAAGTTGTCCCAACAAAAAGCTTTTATGCACTCTCAGAAATAAAGGTACGCGAGCTGTCACTGGGGTGGTAGCTTTTCAAAAGGTACAAATTTGTACCTAAAAAGTCCATATTAATACCTCAAGGGTACATATTAGTACCTAAAAAATACAAAAGTGTTCTTCTTAAATTTTTTTAGGTACTAATACATGGTTTTGAGGTACCAATATGGACTCTTTAAGTACAAATGTGTACCTTTTGAAAAGGTACCACCCCTGTGCCAGCTCACGTCCCTTTATTTCTGAGAGTGTATTGTGTAGTTTCAGCCTAATTTAAGTAGTTTGACCACCAGCAAACATTTTTTATCAATTCAGAGAACATAAGCTCAATCTAATAAAACATAATATATTGTTCAAGAACATCTGCAGCAACAGTTTTTTCAGTAGATGATAGCTGTAACCATAACACAAACATTTAGGCTCTATTTTTAGCATTAAGGATGCGTCCGAATCCACTTTTGCTATTTTAGGGACGGAAAAATACGCTCTATGCCTCGGCTCATGGTCTAACAGTGTTGTGCTTATTCTCCTAATGAGTTCTGGGTGTATTTTAAGCATAATGTGCATTAAACCAATCAGAGTTTCATCTCTCATTCCCTTTAACAGTCAGTTGTGTCACGCCTTTGTGCATTTGCTATTTACACGTTGGACTTTGTTAGTGTAAAAACTGAACGCTTCACTACAGAGAAAACTGTTAAAAAGAGCATCTGCTGCGTCAGGATAAAGAACGAGCCAACTAGTGAAATTGGACACTTTGGGGGTGAGGGGTGGGGGGGTGTATTCATGCTAAAAGTTTAAAAACCCCTGCCTTAACATACCTCCATTATAGACCAGAACACCCATGAGTCCACAAAGTCACTTAAATGGATTGCTATTTAAACAATGTGGTGCAAAACATGAAAATGACAGTTGCGTTGACCTCAAAATAGCAATAAATCACGGCATACAAGCCTTGCGCCTTTTTGCGCCGAGTGTATGATAAATATTTTTAAAAGCAAGCACAATACACTATCAAAAATACAGGGTTCCACACAATGTTTTCATGTTGTTCCAACAAAATCTAAGCTAACATAACCGTTTCTAAAAGTTTAAGTGGATTGAACATAAAAAAATAGGTTGTCCCCCAAAAACACTTAATTAAAGGCAGGGCCGGAGTGGGACTCCTTTTAAGCCCTGGAGTTTCAAGCCTCAGACCGGCCCACCTCAGTTCACGACTGACTATATTAAAATAAAGTCATTTCCAAATCAGTTTCTAATGGCACTATCACGTCTTTTTCAAGAAAACAGCTGCTTTAGAACTTCAAATGTTCAACAACCGTACAGTATTATATGACTTAACGATGAAAATGAAAAAAATAAATATATTACTCAGGTGAGGTTCAAACTTGAGTCGACGGCGTTGTAACGCAACGCGCTGACCACTAGACCACAACAGCTTTTCTAATTGTAATGACTCATCTGTGTTACATCATCATTAACCTGCAGGCTGCATCTTGCTCACGAGGCTGCGAGAAAATAGATAAAAAGAGCGGAGCTGCGGCAAAATAATGAATAACAAGAGAGAGGCTGTGGTCAAATAAATAAATAACTAGGGATGTAGCGGTATCAGAATTTCACGGTACGGTAATACCTCGGTATGAATGTCACGGTACGGTATTTATTGAATCATTTACAGGAAAAAATAAAACTTAAGAAAATACTCCAAAAAAGTGCCAAAAGTGTCAATGACATACAAATTAGCCATCTATCTGTAAGCTTTGAAACAGGAACTTCAATTTTAATAACAAAAAAATATTAAACCATGTAAAAAAATAAAGTTTTAATTTAGTAGTGTTGAAAACTCATCACATTCAACATTTAATCACTCACTCACTTAGATAGAGATGGCTTTAAAGGAAAATTATCATATAAATATAATCTGGTAAAAGCTGGTATCTCTGGGTATTTACAATGTCCCCTGCAACAGAAAAAACACCTCTCATTTGGGACTGAGGTTTCTGGGACAAGAGAGATATGACTTGGCCCAGGTTGACAGCAGTGGGTATTGTTGTGCATTGTCTTTCCCCCACTTGAGAGGACAAGCCATGAGTAAGATAGAGGTCTCATGTCTGCATCAATCTGAACAGTGTGCTGACAACACCGCTATTCAGTACGCGCGCGACAACACAGCTGATAAGAACTCGCGCGACAACACAGCTGATAAGAACTCGCGCAACAACACCGCTATTCAGTACGCGCGCGACAACACAGCTGATAAGAACTCGCGCGACAACACCGCTATTCAGTACTCGCGCGACAACACAGCTGATAAGAACTCGCGCGACAACACAGCTGATAAGAACTCGCGCGACAACACCGCTATTCAGTACGCGCGTGACAACACAGCTGATAAGAACTCGCGCGACAACACCGCTATTCAGTACGCGCGCGACAACACAGCTGATAAGAACTCGCGCGACAACACCGCTATTCAGTACTCGCGCGACAACACAGCTGATAAGAACTCGCGCGACAACACCGCTATTCAGTATGCGCGCGACAACACAGCTGATAAGAACTCGCGCGACAACACAGCTGATAAGAACTCGCGCAACAACACCGCTATTCAGTACTCGCGCGACAACACAGCTGATAAGAACTCGCGCGACAACACCGCTATTCAGTACGCGCGCGACAACACAGCTGATAAGAACTCGCGCGACAACACCGCTATTCAGTACGCGCGCGACAACACAGCTGATAAGAACTCGCGCGACAACACCGCTATTCAGTACGCGCGCGGCGACAACACCCGCTTTAGAGTTTTCCAGCTCTTTTTCATCCCCGCTTCTAGCAGCACACTCCATTTCCGCATTACTGGATGTGTAGCGACAACAGACCGCAAGGGATGATGGTCAAGCATGGGCTGATGGGAATTGTAGTTTTCGCTACCTTCCGTTCGCTTCATTCGCCTGAGCAAATTTTCTCAGAAGACCTATAGTTTTACCGAGTCATGCGACTATGGTAATATCGAAAAAAATTAATATTGCGGTATGACGGTATTTACAATACCGTTACATCCCTATAAATAACTGAATGAAAATAGTACGACTGCTGAGAGCAACAGAGTCTGGAGCTAGGGACACCGGCCCTCGCGGCCAAAAACTCAAACAATTCTCCCGGTCCTCCTGATTAGCCAGTATAAGCCTGATTAAGTAGATTGAACAAGCTACAAAAATCATGGAGTGTAGTAAAACAGAGCCTCATAACATTGTCTGAATTTGCGTAGGACCGACCTGTTCACTCAGACCAATGGTAGACAACTTCACTTTCACCTTCGCATCTTACAGTAATGTACAACTTTACGATCCTTCAGCAATAAATCTGCTGCAGCTTTTAACAGCCTGACGGAGGGTGGCAATAAAAGCCTGTTAGTGATTTTTCTGAAGTGGATTCTCAATGTTCCCTGAGGTTTCTGCGGTGTGACAGTAATGTAATGGAAGCCCCATTCAGGTCTTTCCACAGCCGGTACTCTGAACAAAACCTCCCCTCGGTCCACCGCAGCATTAGACAGCAGAAAGTCCAGCTCTTTCTCCTCTGCGGAGAAATGTGATCGCCTTTCGCCATTTCCCACAATGCAGCAGTAGATCTCGGCAGACACAGAGGAGCCAATTCGATTTGAAGAGATAATTCTGCTCTGCTATAAATCCAGCTGCACCGTCTGCTGCATCACAACGGCAGCAGACATAAGCATGTTTAGTTTTTATAATGACCATATAACCGGTTTGATAACCTTGTTAAAATGCGATGTATTAGTAAATGTGGGCAGCTGGTGAGATGGGTAATTCTATTGTTCTGAAAGAAAGTTTATTTTGCTTGACAGCCAAGGATTGTTCATTTCATTTTGTTTATTTATATTTATTATTATATTTGTAATTATTTATTTAAATGCTTTGACTTTGCTTTACTTTTGTTT